CTGTACAGGCATATATCTATATGGAAGTTGAAATTTTCTGCTTGAAATTATAATATTGATCTTAGTTTCAAAAAATTTGACGATAAATCTCGACTATGATGCTATTTGCTAAGGAGAACGGCTCTATGTTTTATGTCAAGGTAATATTTTTTTATTCTATTTATTATTTTTAAGATGAGGCAGTTCCGCAGGTTTAGCAAAAATATAAACTGGTGCAAAGAATATAATCATTTTCGGTTTTTAAGACTCGCGAATAATAAAATATAGAGAATTCCAGGAAAGTCTCATGGGATCTGCTCAAAAAGAACTTAAAGCTGTTCATTTTAGGTCTCCTAATGAGTAAAACGTATTGGAAGCAAATGTATCAAGGCACTGCTTCCTTCCATTGAAGAAATAACGAGAGAAAAATCGGTTAAGAAGTTGGAAAGTGGAAACCAAAAAATAATCATGGAGAAGCAAGTAAGATTACAACAGTTTCGAAATGTATACTACGATGAACTACTGAAAATTCTGCATTCATGGAACAGCATTCTTGAAACGTTACCGCTGATGCAGTCTGAAATACGTTTTAGCCTCTGCTACTTGAACTCAAAGCAACTGAGTACTGATGTCACTGAAAAAATATACTTATAAGTGATATGATAAAAATAGGGATCGGGCAAAACTAGTTTTTTCGTATGCCAAAAATGTCATAGCTATTTAAGCGGTTAAAAATGAAAGTGATCAGACATCGAAATAGGTTAGTATGAGCATGAGTTTGGTTACTGAAATATAGATCCGATACGATTTCGTTCCTTCCTTTGGAAAATAATAAAGGGGCAAAATGTTCTCTAAGGTTCAGGAACCGTCAAATTCATCAATTGCTGAATCTGCTGCAGATTTTTGTCTTTGTTCTTTAGTTGAATATGATATGTGTGTCTTCAAACTTACTCTGTTACTTTTTCACTCATTGCACTATTATCATTTATATCTTTTATTTGTTAATTTTTTAAAATCTTTTCTTGCGGGGGTGTTCCAAAAGTGAATGTTTTGTTGTGCTTCTGTAATCTAGGAATCATTGGTGATTCTGTTTAAGCAGAAAAGTCTTCACTCCTTTAATTCTGGATGATGCTGAGTTATATACGGTTTAGTAGTAGAAGTAAAGTGCTTTTCCAATTACTATGGTGTTAATGGAAGCCTTCAGTGAACCGTGAAACACAGCACATGGCTAATGAAACAGTGGTACCTGAAAGCTGACTAAAATGTATCTTTAATGTGCATCTTTGTAAATGAAGGACACGAACACTCTGCATGGAAGAGGAGTAGAGTCTACAGATTCAGATGGAAAGACAACTCCACTTTTCATTGACATGAATATGATACCGCAAATTCTATGTAAAGCATAAGGCAGTGATTGGAACTGGAATTACACGTTAATCCAAATAAATAAATCACGCTTAATAACTCTAGTGATTTACTGACTTATTTGTGAGGATATGTGAAGAGCATGGGAACTTTCTTAGCGTTAACTGCAAAATTCATACAGAGGTGAATCGCTTTTGCGTCGTGCGCATTCCTAATGATCGAGGTATATCATTCGGTGTTCAAACACGTTTTTGTTCGAGCCAACGCAGCAGTACTGTTTCGCATCGAAACACTGCAGGTTTTATAATGTCATGGAGCCTTAGTCTATTTAAAGGGTACCATAGGCCACAAAATTTAAATACTCGGTAGAAATCCAGAGAAGTATCACCTTGTAAAGTTCCTTTTCCAGGCCACTGGAAGTTATGAGAAGCAATTACGCCATAATATTGAGTTACTTGGAAAACATGTTACAGCTGTACTAGAAAAAAGAAGTAAAATATTGCTACTGTTTGAGGACTGAGAACGAGTGGAATTTTAAGCAATCCGTTCAGCTCTAGCCAAAGTCGGTTCATTGTTCTCTCTCACCCTTACCGAACAGGTCTATTCTTCAGGAATATCACGCAAATCATCTTCAGCCGTCTTTCCTGAACTACCATCGCATACACTCAGATTTTTGCACATTTATATTATCTACCTCTTTATATCAGAACTGTGCATAAAATTATCATCAAAAAATGAGAGGTGTTGTTCATGGTAAATCAGAGTTAACCTGAGCACACCCACTGAAATATGTTGAGCAATACAGAAGCTGTCTTACCGCGCTGAAAGCCCAACAGGATCCGCAATGACTTTGGTCCTTCACCGGTGTCACGAAGCCCTTCTCTCGCCAATCGATGCTCTCGGGAATCTGGACATTGAGAGGTGATAAGAACATATGTTTGTGAGGGCGATGAGTTTCGTCGCCAAGGAGCCGCTTGTATCCGTTCATCCTGGCGAGGAACTCCTTGTGTTTCTCAAGAAGCAACCCTTCGGTTAGTAGATGACCGGTACTAGCAAAAACTCACAAACAACGAACAATATATTTTCTAAAACAGACAGACACACATGTACACTTATGTGTATACTAACCCAGTCGCCGAACTGGTTCATGCGCATCGTAAACGTTTCCATACCCTTTTCGGCACGGTCGTTGTGGTCTCTGATTTTATGTAGGTTCGACACGAACGTTTTGAACCTCATCAGTTCTTCACTAGCGCCTCTGTAGGTTTTGTCTGAAAATTGAACAACAGATTACCAGTGAGGTTGACAATCAGGCTGTTTTTAAGTGTACATGCAGAAGCGTGTAATATAGCATTCTCCTGTCACTTCTTCGGACTCGCACCGGATAGTACACCATCCCCTTGATTCTAGGGACGGTTTAAGCAG